CTTTGGGCTTCTGAAAGAAGCCATCGACCAACTGACGGATCCGGAGCTTTGTGCCCACATGTTCGACTCAATCGTTCTCCAGGCGGTCTGGTACGTAGCTGAGACTTGGGCCGGCAACGTAGCCGTCGAAAGCTTTACGGAGCACCCACATAGCGCTCTAGCGCAGTCTTCTGAAGATAACCCGACACAAGCAACATCTAGTCGAACTTCGCAGTACGGATATGAGAAGAGTGTCCCGTCTTCGTGACCCAGCGGAATACGTTGCGAAAGCGAAACATCGAGGCTGGTCACATCATGGGAGGAACAGGCGACAGATGGACATTGAGAACGTCGGAATCGACTCCTCGCGAAGCGAAACGTCCTCGAGGAAGACCTCCAACGAGATGGGCAGACATATTCCTGGACTATTTATAGACCAGCTGAAAAATCAGCTGGATACGACTTTCGCCCCTGGAATTCTTGGTCGTCGTCGGTGGACGCAGCCACCGACGACGACCAAGAAGATCGTGGACGTCTGAAGCGAGGGACAGGAATCAATAAAGACTTCTGTACTGGGGCCCGCACGTTACGTGAGGACGGGCCATCTAAGTATCTAAGTAAGTAAGTACCATTCCAACACCATTATCTGACGATTGTCAGTTTTGTCGGGTCACTATCTCTAAAGCTCCCTACGGTAGAGGATCCCGTGCAGAATTCGGCGTGTTTTAGAGCAATCAACGTACGTTTCTTGCACGTGAGAGTAAGGTAGAATATTTACTCCACTCGTCTGCCGTTGTCAGCGTACCTCATCGTTTTCTTCGCTACCCATGTCTATTTGTTCCCATATGTTTTGTCTTCTTCTCTCTGCATGTCGGGAATCGACTAAACACCGAATCTGTTCCTACCCTATATCGAGAGAACAACGCTGCAAAGTTCGCCAGGACTGTCAATCCTTCTCCACGCAATTGTTCAAAAAACAAGTGACAAACAAAGAACTTCTGGTACGAAGTGCGAGACTTTAGTGCAGTTTTGTTACGTTCAAGTTGCGTGAGGGTCACACTCTTTCCAGCTTCACTATATCTATGGTCGGATTGCAATGGAGTGAAAGCATCGAGTGCTTGTGTCGTGTGCAGCTTTCCTGCAGTCGTGTGACAGGGAGGCGCAAAAGTCTGCAATCTGGCTCGAGCTTTTTTGGTTGTTAGCTCAAGTATCTGTCAACTATGCTTATGACTTCTTAACGAAATTTCTTGCGGTAATTCCGAGATTTGCGGAATTTGGCCATAATTCCTTTTGAAGTTGTGATCTAGAAGCAGCTTGCAGATGAATCTTGCCGAGATGCTTTCAGCTTCTTGAGGTTTTTTCGATGTATCATTTCAAATATCAGGTCGAGCGTAAGTTTGCAACTTTGTCCAGAACATTCTTTTTGAATGAGGCGCATTCATTTTGGAGTTGTGTAGACAAGGAAGTGAGCTTTAGATCTGCGCAAACCATTGGACTTTTTATGGCAAAATGAAAAAAATCAACGTATTTTCCCAAAGGCGGTCAAAATCGAGGTTTTACTGTTTTTCAGCAAAGACGAAGGTTTACAGAAAATAAATCAATCAAATTTAGCCGAAACTGTTTTGAAACTGTAGACAAAATGTTCTTAGAGGTTAGCTACTGAGCTCAGCCAAGAAAGATTTGTAATTCATAGTCAGATCGAATCTGGCGATCCGTGAACTCGCTCAGGTCGAACGCGTCAAACTTTTTCGTGGCAAAATAAGCCTTTAGAGCTTAATTATCATTTTCGTAATCAGAAGGTTACATAACTCCCCTAAACCAAGTTTCATCCCAATCCATGCCAACTCCTTTTTCTTTCCCTTTCGAATTGCCTTACCGTAACTCTCAAATGCGATGTTGGAATTCTGCAAAAAAGGCTGCATTCGTAGCTCACATGATAATCATCATAATGCCAAAAAATGGAAGTGCCACATTCAAAAACAAAGTTGTAAGAAAAAGTTGCAATACTTATGTGCCAACCCAATTCATCCGGCTGTGGTATGCATACGGAAGGACGTGGCTATCTGTGTGGATGTTTAATGATGTAACTCAGCTTATAGTATCATTACAGCACAGTATACCTACCACATCATGATAGGTTAGTGTAGTGCGATAAGCTGAAAGAAAAATTCGTCCTGACGACCCAGTAGAGAGCATGGTCAAATTCCGCAGACTCTCGATCATCATCAATGTCGCGGAATTTGTCAAAATCCGCGGTCGAAGTTTGCGGCCGTAAAAATCACGTTGCTGTGTTTGATTTACCTTTGAAAGTCTTTGTAAAGACTGTGTATTACTTTTCTTTTTTCTTCGTAGGTGTAGACGTATGATTTTTGACAAGGATTTCAAAATCATGTGAACGTATATGTTGTGATAAGAAACTCGTTCTAAATTGTTGAACTACAATTTGGGTAACAGTAATGCTTTCATAGTCTAGTTTCATATCGCAATACACCCTTTCGGAGCGCGTTGATCCTCATTACCTTTCTTAATTGCAAAGGATCCAAAACAGTGTGGCTGTCTTCAGATCGCAGCAATATAGCAGTGGCGCAGTGAGAGAGGGGGGGGGGGTGCGAAAATTTTTGAAAGTTACTTACATGAGTTATAAAATCGTGCAAGTGACTTCTCTATACTTACAAAAATTTAGAATAGTTTTCAGAATTAAAGAAATGAAACTAGCCGTGTGAATGCCCTCTTCTTCTAATATTCCGGGGGTGTGCAAAAATTCTGGAAAGCATCCCAGAAAATTTTTCGAAGTGGTTAGCCAACTCCACAGTGTAGATTTGCTCATCTCTTCTTTCAGTTTCAACATCATCTTCAGAGTACACCGCTCACACTTTTTTTGAATAGGTGGTGTTCATTTTCATCTCTTCGAATTCTTCGTATTTTTGTGCGAGTCCGAGGTTACACACGCGCCTAGCATGAGGGTTTTGGCCAGTAGCACTAATGCGAACATAAATCTAGAAGACGAGTTGGAAAGGTAATTCTAAGCGTTCGTTTGCAAGATCTTGTTGACTCAAACTGTGCAAGCGAAGATCCATTAAGTGCGCTTCGAATAATCGCCCTTACTTCACTACCACGAAAATTCTAGGGCAACACGCTGCAGTTTTTCAGTCCTATCCCAAATCTCGTTCCTCGCAGTTCAAATAGAGAACTAGGCTAGTGTATCGATGCCTAGGGAACGCAACGATAGCTGTGGCAAGGGAGTAAATATTGAAGACATAGTCAGCTGAAGCATCTTTAGCCTACGGCGCCGGCGCATAGTTTACTGTGACATCGCAACTCTTTGGGATTGTTCATATGAGTGGCCAAAATCCGTGTAGATGAGCTTTATTAAGCATTATTAGCGTTTTCTGCGCTTCAGTACGCGTACCTTTGGATGTAGCTTTAACTGATTGCTTATTCACTTAGACGCTTTCAACTATATCATCTTGTCCTCTAATGCTTTGTTTTACACCTTTTCATCAACTGTGGACTCCTGCCACTGAGTTTTATGGAATCTGCTTCTTATGTAATCACATTGAAAAATTCTGGACAAACAAATACAGTTTGTTGTACGCTGAGGCGCGACAAAAATTGTTTCCGAATAGAGGTGGAAAAATTTGTGCTTTCCACATTTTTGCAGGCCTGTAACTTTTCTAGAGAAAGGAGGCCTGGCGGCAGCCACGCCTCAAAAAGGTTTTTTCTCCCAAGGACAACATGAATTTTTTGAAAATTTTGGAAATTTTTTTTATCACTTACAAGTATAAACAAGTCACATGCACATATTTATAACCTATACAGGTAACTTTCAAAAATCCTCTGAGCCATTCTCGTGTGCGGAGGTGGGGGGGGGGGGGGGCGCCCATTCGGCCCGCTAGTGCTACATTCCCATTTATTTATCCTTTGTCATCAATGTTGACTGTGCTACAGGGCTCGGCACAGCAGGCATCGGGTCAAGCTGGATACTGTTTTTGGGACAAAAAGCAAGGGATATCGTTTTTGCGGCCGAAAAGACACAAAAATTGCGACGTTTTTTGTCGACGTTTCGTTTTTTTCAAGGATTTTACGTCTAGGGTTCAGGGTCGAACGGGCTTCGTACGCGATTTTCCTGGTGCCAACTAGTGCCGAGCCCTGATCAAGAAAACATAAGCCTTTCGTCGAAAATTTTGAGAACCCTCATCCAACCACGTCTAATTATGCATTTGTTGGGTTATGTCACTCTTCTTAATTAAGGCAACTGGACTGATTAGTATTTCAGAAGATTGTATGGAGATTTTTGTCTTATTCAAATCGGAACTAATATATAAAAAATGCTACACTGTCGTGTAAACAGAGGAGGGATGAAGAATTTGGCCACTTCCCTACGGACATGACCGAACGCATCCTACTTCATACTTGAAGAGGCTAGTGAATGCGTGCAGGCCTAGTACAGTGACTTACAGAGGCCAGCCAACAGTGTCTTTCCTTATAGATTGCTCTGGTACCAATTTACAGGCCCATGAATGTAGAGGGCTTGGTTGGCCGCTGGGGGATTGAATCTGGGTCCGATCAGGTCCCAGAGACGTCTCAACCAATGTGCCACTACTTCTGCCACATCGCACCCCACATTGATGTATGGCGAAAAATTAATATACAAAGGGTTTAAGCGCTTAATTGATTCTTTTAGGTTTTTTCCCTATCACAGCTTATGTTCCGATAATTGCTCCATGATTTCATCATTACCGCTTCGAGAATTTGTAACGTAGGTACATAATGGTACAGAATGACTCATATACCAATTGAATGTACATTTTAGCGCCCTAACAAATTTGAGATTTTACCATACTTTATTTTCCCAAAAGCCTAATGCTGGAACAAAAGAACTGATTTGAGATTTGAAGCTTCTAATTCGTATCGCCTGCGTAAAGTCTCTATGTGATTAGCTCAGTGTTGTTTTTTGCTGACTTCGTAGCCCTCCATTGCTTGAATTCAGTTGTTTATCGTTCGGCATTTACGCTCATTACAGAATCCCATCGATGGGAGAGATCCGAGCTCCATGTTGTTTGGGTCCAAAGAATGCCTGTATGTGTGCTATGGTGAGTGATTTTCACTGCTACTTGATGCAAGATTAGTAAACATTGCTCACATCCCTGTACTTTAGAAGCTGCTTGTCCACTCCATCCTTCTCAACCTAGTCATGTCACTGTCACTAGACTTGCCCGCTCCGTTTCCTGTTTTAGAAACTCACTCTCGTGCGCGCGTTCAAACCTTTATATGTTACTAGCTGTCAAACCCGGCTCCGTCCGGCCCTGTCCATGCTCGATTACCCCCCTGTACCAACTCCCATGCTCGTAGCTCAAACTTCGCAAGAAATCGAGAAAATCGATATTGATCGATGATGAAAAGTAGCCTATGACACCCCCAGTGCCCGAAGCGTATGTGTGCCAAGTTTGGTCCGGATCGGTTCAGAAATGAAATTTTCTATTCGGAACATACGTACACACATACATACATACAGACATACAAACAGACATTCAGCTTTATATATAAGATACAGGTTTTGGTCTTGGCTGCGTAGGGATTGTTTATGATTCCGGTAATCGCAGTTTTTTTTTGCCGCGCAAACGTCCTTTGGAAAACTTTTTGTTAATGAACCTAAAATATGAAAAAACGAGCTTGGAAATCGGTTTTCCTACTAGGCTGTCTTGGTTATGAAATCTATGAATTTTTTTCTTCAGTAGATAACTCCGAAGTTTTCCGTTTATTCAACAACTCTTAGCGGATGCTAAATTTCGTAACCAAAATATAAAACGCATTCGATACAAATTCGTTTGTATCTCTTAAATCAAGAAGAAAACCAGAAAATACAATTAGCGCATAAATGATCGGGGAAACATGCAGCGAGCCATCTACGCAACTTTCCCTATTTTTCCAGTTTTGCATTTTTTGCGAATATAATGAGTGATCATCAATTTGAGCAAGGCACATGCTTTCAAACATTTGAAACTATGATACATGCTTACTAGTTTGAGTAATGGTTTTCTCACGGAGAAAACAACCAACCATCAACCTGATATCGCGAAAGTCAAGACTTTCGCGATATCAGGTTGATGGTGATCCTTCTAGAATAAAAAAAAAATCACAAATTCTGACATTTTTGGCAATGCATCTACAAATCATGTGTGGATTTCTTGATAATTCTCAGCACTGTGATAGACAGTGAGCTTCTCACGAAGACTTGGGGTACATCTGCGACAATTTTCTTGGGAATAAAAACTCGATCTATCTAGAACACATTCGCACACGTCCAATTCCCAGCAAAGTTCGATTCTTCATATTTTCTCAGTTTATGGCAGGCTATGGTAAGGGGTAAAGAGCAAATAAAACTTTCGGAATAATCTGTTATCTGAGAAATATACCCAGTTATATGCGAGTACTCTTCGCTAGATACTAAGTTTATGAATGCGTGATAATAAATAAGTATGAAATTTTTTGATTTGACTGTATATTGAACAGTGTCTAGTAAAGAACTACCCTAATTTCATGAGTATACTACGCGGGGGATTTTTGTATAAAATAGAACAGCACAGACACGCCAAAGGATTTCATGACCAAAAAACTATATACAGTGCCAGCATATTGCCTGAGAGTATTGTGCGGCATAAGTCTCGTTTTCCGACATAGAGCCAGGCGGTGAGCGGCTCGCCTAAAAAGTTGAAGGTGGTCTTACTTTCGTGAAATTAGGGTACCAGTCTTATGTGAGCAAGTGAGAGATCTCGATAACATTTCAGGCATTCGAAGCCATAGTACTAGCCCAATCCTTAGTGGTCACAGTTGGTTACATATCAAGAGGTGAAGCGCTATACAATTCCACTAACGCATTCGTATCAGAGATCATTAGCTGGGAATTTTTGATTCCGGTCGTTGCAGTGCAGGTGAGGATCGTTTAGTCTTGGATTTTTTTTCACTGTGTTTTGCACTCGTGAGCGTGATTATAAAGAAAATCATCTGAGTTGTGTATTGTGTCTTAGCTGTGGTAAGCCATAACTCATTGCAAAACAAGTTCTACAAAGAAGATTTTGAACAGCAAACTCTTTGTTGATTTACCTGAGAGGTAAAGGCATTATGAAACTTTTGATCGAGTCAAAAACTGGATCTTTGCTTCAAAGACCTACTATCATTCCAAATTTGTTCATATTCAAAGTGGAAATTTACGAACATCCACATAGATAGAAAAAGATCGAAAAAGAAAGAGAGTTGTAAAATGGCAAGCTCCTCCCCTCACAGTCTTCAGCTCCTCACATGTGTGACTATATCTACAAACGCTAGAAAATACACATATCAACAGCTCTTTACTTCCTTAAGAAATTTTCAATGTGGCTCGGAAAACTTGGTAAAAGCCACATTACCTTCCTTCCAATATGATATGGCACAGTCGTTAGAATTTTTTTTCTAAAATCTGCCTTATAACGCTGCATAAACGCGTAAACGCACGCCATGTTATGATAGAGGTATGTGACCGCGATCGACATAGGTTGTGTTGCTTGCCCACAGAGCTCCGGATAGCCTACGTTTTTTTCCACTCACCTTTTTCTTTTTCTTTTGAGACGGTCAAACTGCAGTGCCTCTGAGAGCTTTATGCACTATCAACTTCCTTGCTTGCTTTCCTAGATAGAATCTGGAAGAAAGCCAAAGCTTCCAAAAAGCTTCCGAGGTGCTGAAAAATCCATTTCCGATAGCTAAATTACGTCGTTTGAAGATAGGACAAAATGTCTAGAAAACACTCGGAAGGTGTTCGACTTGTATCATACTATAAGACTGTTTTCATGCCGGAAAATCAAGAAAAAATTGAAAAGCTGAAAATAGCAAACTTCACCATTCTGTAGTCCTGGGGCGGTATGTATCTCCCGTTCGGAAGTGTTCTCGTACAGGTCGTAATCCAGTCAGAGGCAAGCGCCCACGCCCATGATGCGCAGACGTGGGCGCCTAGCATTGCAAGTGTCCGACCAAGCAGAAGCGGGTAGGTGTGCAAGGCCTGGTTAACCTACCCGATCTTGCTTAGCTATGGATTGTGTGAAATAGCGCGTCTCTTGGATTAGGTGGCCTACAGTGGCGTACCCAGGATTTCGGCTCGGGAGGGGGGGGGGGGGCGCGACAAAAATTTTTTTTGATGAAGGTGCGTGGCGTTAGCCACGCAGCGAGAAAAAAATTTGGCATGCTTCTCAAAATTTTCGCGGGCCGCGTCAGCCACGCCCCCAAAAAAAAATTTTTATAAGGCTAAATTGAATTTTTAAAAAACTCTAAAAGTTATTCTAATTATTTACAAGTATAAACAAGTCACTTGCACGTTTTTATAACCCATAAGTAACATTCAAAAATTTCGAGAGCTCCCCCCCCCCCCCTCGGTACGCCACTGGTCGCCTACGAAAGTTTCAGAGCTCGATCTCTCCAGTTCAGGGTGAATCTTGTAAATCTCAAGATTAAATCAAATCAAATCTTAAATCAAAAAAATCTCTTGCAACGTTATAACAATTAAACCTTAAGCGTGACTAGTGACAAGTTCGCTCGATTTACTGACGTTTCCGGCTACCCAATCCAAGAAACGCGCCGGGCTCTTGCATGGTCAGGCGCCCACGTTCGCGCATCATGGGCGTGGGCGCTTGCGTCAGACCGAATTACCGGCTGCGCGAGAACACTTACCCGAACGGGAGAGTGATGCATACCGCCCCTGGGCTCCTTCCATGTGTGCCGTTTACTACCAACCTTGAAAAATTCCATAAATTTTAGCCGTGGATGTGACCTAGTTCTCGAGAAAAATTCCAGGTGGAAAACCTAAAAAGCGACATTCTTTTTTTCCAATTTATAGATTGCTGCGGCTGACCAATTATTTTCAAGAAAATTTGTTGAAGAAGTTTTTTTCGACCGCATAGCGACTCTGCGCATAGCTTTTTTGGACCGTGGAAACCTTGAGTGCTAAAATTTGCAAGAATGGTTGAAGATTTCTTTATCTTCTCTTGATGCTAATGGAAACCTCTTCAAAATATCACGAGGTACAGCGATGCAAATATTTGGAAATATGCGATTAGTGGAAAATGTTTCTCTCTACGAATATGCGGGTGTGGTGCAAGAGGAACGATAGTAATTGCCAGCCGCTGGTGCCAATGCACTATTTGCCTTCACAATTCGCAAATTGCAAACTTATAAATAGTAGATTTGAATAAATGCTCTACTCAGTTTATGTAATAAGTATTGCCTAAATCCCGGTGATATGTTCAATTCGGTGATGTCTTGCAACAATAAGCTTGAAATACTTGAAGTTTCACCTTTAAGATTCTTTTTTGACGTTTTTAGCTAATTTTCGCACCTCATTTTCAAGCAAACACAATCTATCCGACTATCCTGTCTAGATGAATGCATAAAAAAGGAAATGCTCTAAATTTCTGTGCTGATTGACAAAAATAACGGTGAAGTAGGCGCGAGTTATTGACACCCACCAGCTATCGTTCCTCTTGCTCGCCACTCCGAATATGCGTATCGAAAACACAGCTCGATGTTCTTCAATCGAAATTCGGTATTTCTCTTGCAAAATCGTGAGCTTCATGACCAAGCAAGAATATTTGATGACTATGCTTACTTGCGCTGGAAGGACATCCTGAAACGCTGACTTAAAATTTTCTTGTATATGAGAAACACGCCCATTTTTCTCGCTATATTCGTGTATTTGAATGGATGGTATTCGCTCTTTAACGCATTAATGGTTCGACTACTTTGTTTGACTTGTGTAGTGAATTCAAAAATTCCTAAACGGGGTCCCTAAGAAAGTAATCTCGTAATGCTTTGTTCTTTCTTGAGCCATGCACAAAATTTGTAACTGTTCAATTCACTCCACGGCTAACGTTTCGGCAGATCGCCTTCGTCTGGGTCTTTGTGCTTTTTTGCTAGCCAGAGTGGGAAATGCGAACAAAACAGAAATATTAAAAGACGGCTGTCATCTTCACTTCATCTTCGTTCCACCTCCGTGTACCAGTTCGGTGCTTCTTAGACGAAAAGGGCAAAAAAATTAATCGACTTCAACTGTTGATATTTTCTAAAGCGGCTTGTCATATCCGAAAACATCTCTATGTCCCTCCTGTATGTCGGTCTCCGCCTCCTCATGCAGTGGAAGCAGATCGGGTGAAAGTAGTTGTTCATGTGAGCGTTCACTTCCAGCTCCCCATCAACCGTGTGATGTATTTGCTAACTTTACAGAAGAATGAATGACATTGGAGATTGACATCAGTGATTAAAGCTTATCTGCAGTGCGGGAGCAAGGGTCTTCCGTGACATGACTATGACATCTACGAATAGTAGTTTGCGTAATGCTAATATATCCTACCACGATGTAAAAAACGTTGTTCATCATCGGCGAGTCTATTCTCTAGCCTTACCTAGCTATCCTATGCAGCGTGCAATCAAGAACGTACCTCACTTTGATGGCATCTTTGGTCCATCCACACTTGGGCAGTACCCGTAATAATGCCTCACCATCCTGTTGTTTGATTCTTTGTTGAATCAGTTGATGGCCACGACACGACATACTGTCGCTGTCACAGAAAATACGACCGAAGCCTGTGGCTGCTATATCAATCAATAACACATTACGTTGAGGTGCACACCATTCAGTGAAATACGATTAGATCTTATTCTGGGATGAACGCTAACCGGAAATTCAGCGTGTCCAGCAAAAACCCCTGAAGCTGCTTTGCCGGCGTGGGCGAGAGCGTAACAGAGAAACACTGAAGTTGCCATTAGTGCTGCGCACAACCCCTTTTCTTGGAGGTTCTTGACGCCAGCGATGGTTAGGTGCTATTCAATTGATCAGGTTGACTGAATTTGTTTGGAACCCAACCGCCACATCAAAGACACCGTCCACCCAAATTCCTGACTTCCATATTTCGTTCAAGGGTCTTCTCATGTCCCAAATTCCAAATGTGAAGCTGTATAATAATATATGTAGGAATCTCGGCAATGTCCGTTTCGGAGAATCCGCGGCACGGTCTCCGGAATGGTGATTGGATAGGCGAGCACGTATGGGGAGAAGGGGGGCGGAGGGGGAGGGAAGGATACTGGAGACGTTACCGCCTAGGGATCATACTTGGGTCCGAATCGAATGAAAATTTGATCATTCGAACAAAACATTTGAATGTATTCGCATCGAAATTCAAAATTCGGAGTTTATTTTCGAAAGATATTCAAAACTCGAATAATCAGAAAACGGGGTTTCAAATAAAATTCGAATTTCGAACAAAAAACTGGGTTTCGAACTCAAAAACGGGGTTACGAATAAATTTTATTCGAATGTTTTATTCGAATTCGTATTCGAGTGAAATCCGTATCCAAATTATTCAAGTTTGTTGCAGGGCCAACTGCTGAGTAACAGCTTGCTTCGTCTGCGTTTTTCTCCGCAAAACTCGATAATGCATTTTTTTGCAGCCGTGATCACCTGTATGTTTGGTGTGTACTAAGTGAAGGGTAGACGAGTAGTTGTGGAATAGGTTTATTCACACTGACGTAGATTAGTTGATAGCGATCATCGAGGTGTCCCGGTGTGAAGCGGGGAGCAACCTCTCATACATTCGGAGGCTCCTTATATACGAAGGAAGGAGGAGCTGAACCGAGTACAGGGTACAATATACACGAGTTGGTGCTTGAAAGGAGATGCCGCCGATTGACTACACTCCTGGCGCAGAGGTACCACTCACTCTTGAGTGATTAGGTACTCACGAGTGAGTAGCTCACAATTCAGCCTACGGAGATTCCGTAGGCTATCTAGAATATGGAGTTCATCATGGTTGATGATACAGAAATCATCAACACTCCGGGCGAGCTAGAGGAAAGTGAGATCTGGTAAAATCTTGATAAGTATGGATACATGTGAATTTGACTAGCGAATTCA